GCTGAAAAGTGCCTGCACTTTAGCTGCTTCAACACAGAACCTGCTCACTTTTGCTGACAGCTGAATTTAAGCTGCCAGAGGGCAAGAAACAACTAGCTGAGGCCAGTAGTGCTTTCTACCACCACAAGAGCCTACTTGAATTAATGTGAATTGGAGCACTTACTTCCTTACTTGTAGACTACAAACATTCAGAAAGAGCTGCTTGTATGTATAATGTGTTTTTCTTCAGCTTGCAGTCAGCATTTTGCTTTACTAGTATTGCAACTGCATGTGAAGAAAAAAATCACCTGCGATGGAGCTGCATAACGCTGCTTCTCTCTTGGGTGATTTCCCCCTTTGAGGATGTGCTGATAACATCCCATCCCTGGAAGTAGCAGCATCCTTGTATTATGAATGAGAAAGACCAGAAGGGCATCAGAGTGAAACAAAGTATTAAAGGCTGCACAAAGCTTATATGAAGGAGCCAGAATCTGAATCCTTGCACTGAATCACACATCTTCTCTGTAGAACATAAGTACTGTGTGTTTGAGGAGAAGCTACAGATGAAGTGTTTGGAAGTTAATACTCTAACTGTCCCCATGGTTCTGTTTACATGGCAGGGAAGCAGAGCACATTAAAGACACGGCTTTTATTGCACAATGCACACTCAATACTGTATCTTAATGAAATACTTACTTTTGCAAGAATTCATCAGACCCACACACACTCAGAAGACATTCCTCCTGGGTAAGGGATTGAGCTGTGCAATGGAGGATCTCTGCAATTAAGTCATGAGTGATACAGCCAGCTGTAAATAAAGATAGCACCAAAAATTAATAGTACCTTGCCAGAGAACTCCAGGTTAAATACATGAGCAAAGAAAACTAAGATGATTTTTTTTCTAAGCCCTAACAACTGCTGCAGACTAGCTCCATCAAGAGGAATTAGATCAAGACACACTTTATTTTATTCTTTTTTTTCATTTTGCTTCAAATATTTTACATGTCACAGCATCTACCTCCATTTAGAGGAAATTAGCAATTTCTTTATTCCAGCTACCTAAGAAGACATGAGAAGCATTCCCAAGCATAATGGAAGAGACAAAATAGCAATTTATTTTTTTTCTTTTTCATTTTCCTGATGAATATCTTGGTACACTTCCAATCTGCAAACAGTGATGCAAAAGGTGACTCTGTAGTCTCTCACAACACAAGAAAGCTCCTAAATTTTGTTTCGGCTGTGCTAAGTTTTTTAGCCATATCCAAGAAGTAAAATAATAGTCAAATGTATTTTATGGATATGTAATACATTTCATAAATATTATTTAATATCACATATATTCACATAATAATATAGAAATATATAAAATATCTATAAATTAAGTAGTTCTGAAGAGAAGGTTGTGTGGAGACCTCATAGCAACCTTCCAGGATCTGAAGGGGCTACAGGGAAGCTGGAGAGAGACACTTTGTTGGAACTGGAGTGACAGGACAAGGAGTAATGGGGATAAACTGAAAGAGGGGAAATTTAGATTAGATACAAGTAACAAGTTTCCCCTGTGAGGGTGGTGAGACACTGGCACAGGTTGCCCAGGGAGGCTGTGGCTAAACCAACCCCCGCCGGGGTCCAACCCCTGGAGAAGCAACCTACTCTGGTGGGAGGTGTCCCTGCCCAGGACAAGGGATTGGGACTAGATGATCTCTTAAGGTCCATTCCAACTCCCTAACATACTGTGATATGGACACCTCAATCACTTACCATGCTGTGTAAGTAGTAGAGGAGACGGTGAAAAATCTGTCCAAACGCTGATTCTGAATTTTGTACCACCAAGGATATGGTCTGGGAACCTTGTTGCCACACTCCAGATTTTCCCAGTATTTGTCTTCAAGTCAAAAGCAGGATAGGCATTTCTGATTCTGAAAAGAACATGTGAAGAAACTTTGTCTACACAAGTGTGCATTTCCAATCTCTTGTACGAGCAAAACTACATCTAAATAAGTGTGTATTTTTGATATCTTCTAAGAATAAACCAAAAATTCTTCATGATACCTATAATAATAGTACAGAGAGAGCTAGTAGGAATTAAATTTTGTAGAGAGAAATAGCAACTCAAACTCTGTCTTGGTACATTAGTGAGGTAACTACATATTGCATAGCATAGCTAACTATATCTTCGAGTTTTAGCAAAACTACCAGTAAAATCCTCATGAACTTGACAGAATCCCTGCTGAGATTGACCTCAGTGAAACCAAAAGGAGGTTAAACTTGGACTTCAGTGTACATTGAGTACAGCAGAAATAACAGTGCTCAAATATATATTTAAATAACAGGATTTTACGTTAAAACTAACCAAGAGCACAGGCAGAGAGAGCTGTGACTAGGACAGCTAGTCAAAATGAATAGAGGAACATGCTTTCTATGCATAATCTTGAGCAGTCTTTATTTAACAACTCTCAAATCCAATCTGAAATCCTCATTACTAAAACCCTGGGTATTTATGTAAATGTCTGTAGAGAGCAGTAACTGTTACAGTCATTGAGTCCCTCTGATATACTATTACCTAAAATATATTGTCCTTCCTCCTTCCAATTACCACAGACTTGCAGAAACTAATTCCTCCTGAGGTACCACTTCCTAATGAACACTGGTCACAAGTATTGTCTGTCATCTGAGATTAAACTTGCTTTTTAAGCAAACACACTTTGCAGCTGCAGGTAAGGGTACACATTGGACCAGCTGAACCCTTATGTTCCACTAATTGGCCTGAATATTTAGTAGCTGAACTCAAACATCCTGTGCTAAGCATTCTGGCATCCTCTTTTGTTTGTTAGTTCAAACAGCATTTTGTAGTTTCTGAGTTGGCTGCACTTTATACCATCTCTGAGTGCAGTGTCTTTGGAACCACAGTTCCCTCACATAAAGGTCTTCATTACTCCGTTACCTCCTGCCTCAGAGCTGCTGCCAAAGTCTTTTAAACAACCATATGAACTCCTCTTTTGTGCCACATATTCCTACAGCATGAGAAGCAAAAATAAAAGCCTAAGCTTCCAAAATTAATAATCCAGGGAAGCAGCCCATTTCCTACAATAAAAAGTCAGGGGGGCAAGATGTTTCAGTGGGGCAGGAGGAAATGAGGCTTGACAAGAGCACCTCCAGTACAAGGTAGATTTATACTCATCATTAAGACCCGTTATACTACAGAGGCTGTTTGGATGACCTATGTAGCTGATGTCAGTCTATTTTCTTTGTGAGCAAGATAAAGCTTTCCCCATCACAGAATTCACTCTTGTAACCTGTTTCTCTGAGAAAGGCCAAGGACTGAATAAGACTGGAAACTTCACTATCCTTTCTCCAGCATCAAATGAACAGGCTATGTACACACATGGAGCACAAATCACCTCCTCAACCTGCTGGCAGTCACCCCAAAACAAAAACAACCTCATCTTCTTCCCCACCCACACACTGCTTGTACTTTAGGATATAATGCAGGGACACAAATTGGGTTTTCAGCTGAAAATACATTCAGTTTCATCAAATGTTGCTCATTTATGGCCATTCTCCTGTGATTAAAGGGCTTCTGGCCTGGTCAGGTGGGTGAAACCTGCTCATTGCAAAACTTTGCGAGCTTAGATCTTCCAAAGCATAACTAAAGTACTATACAAGTCCCCCACAAAGAAAATCCTGTTTTCTGTGCCACATCAACTCGGGGTATGAAGGAAGTACTAACATTTACAGGGATTTGCTATTTCACAGCATTTCATAACATGATGTGTTTCTCTGTGGCGCAGAGCACATCCTCTAAGACAGTGGGAGGTGGAAGAACTTTGCATTTTGCAGCATTGAACCTTGAGCCTACCAGCTTGGCATTTTCTGGTATCAAACTCACTTCATCATGTATTCTCAAACCACTCCTGCATGAATGTTCACTACAGCTATGCTCATAATTGTAGAACTAACCTGATAAAGGCATTTTGAAGGCTGCTTTATGGTCATGTACCACCAAATGTTTCAATTCTAGACTGCTACCTGGACAAGGATCACCTAGAGGAAAACATGATGGGTTTCTGTTTGAGCTATACACTGGAGCTGCAAGTATGCATGACACATAGTTTGAATTATACATCTTGCCTGGGACATCTGAAACTGCCAGCAATTCAGACTCGCTGGAGACTGGAAGGATGCTCATTTGGCAAGACTGAATATGTAAGTTGTTTGAAAATTTATGACTTTTTTTGGTCTTTTGGTTGCTGTGACATTTTGTCCCCAGAATGTTTTTCTATTTATTTGATAGAAGAAAAGCAAAGGCTGTTCTTATTTTCATTTTAAGAGTACTTGCTTGTGATGCAACACTAAAGTTCCTGTGAAACAGAAATGGCTTATTTCCATTTATCTTTTTAGCCCTGTAAATAAACTCATTTATTCAAAAATCAATAGAAAGCTTTTCCTATAATTAGAATGTTTAGGCATTGAAAAAAAAATCTGACTGAGAGGAAAACTGTCATGTGGAATGTGCCTTCATGCATCTGCTGGTAGAAGAACTGGGCTGGGGTTCAGCCTGATGAAAGAAGTAAACTGTGACATATGTGACTGAGTTTGGTTTGAAGCTGACCATCCACCCCGTATGAATGTATAATATATTCACTGTTAATTTCAGTGCAACATCAAACTGGGTTGTTTGGTTGGGTAGTTGGTTTTTTTCCTTTTAAGAGAAGCAGGCTTGGTTGACCTTGAATAAAATCAGTTCATTAAAGCCCAATAAAAAAAAAAAGCAGCATTCCATTTTCCAACTACTTTTCTGGGGGGAAAACCACACATTTGTGCTAACGACTTGACAGTGTGATCAGTGAATACCTACAAAGGAAAATGAAACTGCACAGATGGTCTAAAAACTTGTATTTCTTAGTGATCTTGGATTTTAACACAATTTCTTTTTCTGAAGAAGATTAAGTAAAAAAAGTTCCATCCCATTAAGCTACACTATGAACTGTAACTGTAAACATTAATTAAAGAGGTTTTGTCACTTCCTAAGTCTCACTTTTCATTGTGACAGTATGTAGTAATTCTGTTCTCAGTTAGTCCTTCCAACTTTTTTTCCCCACTCTGAGCTGCACATGCATTAATATTGTCCAAGGCAATGGCAGAAAAAAGCATCTTAAGTTTCACACACTATAAGCCCTCAAACACTAAAGAGTTAAATGCAATTATCACTGATAAATGGGACAATTAAGAAAAAAGTCTTTTTTTTTTAATTAACACTGCTTTGTGAATTTTAATCCTCAAACCAATATTAGAAGCATTTCTATATTCAAGTATGTCCTGGTATTATATCACTGTTCAGGAATGCAGGGTGTGGTGAGCTGGGCATGGGCCATGCCAGGTGCCCACCAAGCTGCTCTATCACTGCCCAGCAGTACAGGTGCAGGGGGAGAAAAGATGGAAAAAACCACTACTGGGTCAAGAGAAAGGCAGCCTAATAAAGGCAAAAGCAAAGGACACATATAGAACTAAAAGAAACAAAATATTTATTCTCTGCTTCCCATCAGGAGGCAATATCCAGCCACTTTCCAGGAATAAGGCTTCAGGCAAATGTCCTAACACCAAACACTGTTGTCCTTTCCTGCTCCTCCTTTGTCTTAGCTTCTACAGTAAGGAATATCCATTTGGTCAGTCTGTGTCAGCTCTCCAGGCTATGTCCCTCCCAAGAACTTACCCATCATCAGCCTACTGGTGAGCAATCAAGGCCCCTGGAAGTGTTCAAGGCCAGGCTGGACAGTTCTTGGAGCAACCTGGTCCGGTGGAAGGTGTCCCTGCCCATGGCAGGGGGTGGAACCAAATGATCTTTAAGGTTCCTTCCAACGCAAACCATTCTGGGATTCTGGGAATGCTGGAGACAGCTTTGTTTGTGGGAACACTGCTAAGCCATAGCCAAAACACTGGTGTGTTATCCATACCTTTCCAGGTGCCAATACAGAGCCTAGCACTATGGGGGCTGCTGGAAGAAAAAATGTACTCCATCTCAGTCAGACCCAATCCAATTAATGCCAGTGAAATGTGATAGCTGGCTGAATAAAGCTTTTTTCATTACTTACTTCTCCACTGTGTTGCAAAAATCAACTGTGTTTTCATTACTTCCTTGATTTGCTTCCACCAGCTGGATAGACCAACCTGTAGCCTAAAAAGACCAAAAAACCACCAGAAGAAACAGGGTTCAGTTATATAGATATCAGAAGCAGAAGGACGATAAGACTAACCTTGCATTTGATTCCATGAGAGCTAACTTTCCTGCTTTATCATCCCTCCCCTGACTTGATGGAGCTCTAAATAGGCACAAATGACCCCATTTTGACTGCACTCTAAATGCTTTCAGAGAAAAACCACAAAGTCACAAAGCATCAGCTACCCTGGCTAACAGCTGCTTTTCCCCCTTGATGCAGAACATATGGAATTACAGACAGAGCTTTCACAATTCACCTAGTGTCAGAGCACAGACAACTCCAAATGCAGAAGATTTATACTTAGTTTACAAAAGGGAGAGAAGACAAAGTGAAGCTCATGTTGCAGTGCATTTTTAATCCTGATTTTCTCTCTTTCTGCCCTGGCAGGACACTCAGGATCTCCTCAAACTCCATAAAGCTGTCAGGTAAGACCCTAAGACAGAGAACAGGAAGGCAATGTATTCTGTTGAACATGAAAAATCCCCAGACACTTTCTGTGAGCTTGGGGAACACAGGTCTGAGCCACTGTTTTGGGTCAGAGCACCCATTGTGTGTTTGCCTTAGTACCCTTCAGGCAGAACATTACCTCCAGCAAAGAACTTAATACTATTATACCTGCAGTCCCATTCTGCTGCTGCAGGTAGAGATATACACGAGGCTTAACCATATGTGAGCTCTTAAACCCCTTCAGAAAGACAAGCAACTAATAAACATCTCAGAGAAGAAGAAACTGAGGTATTTTTTAACGTGTATTTTGTTCCAAATCAATAATCCATCATCCCCTGACTCTAAGAACTGCTGAAAAACATCCTTCAAAAGCCAGTGGATGGAGAGTCCCACAGAGGGGAAGGCTAGAAACCTGCTGGATCCAGCAATGAGCAAAAGCTATTTTTTCACCTGCAGCTCTGTCATCACAGAGCATGTACATCCCCCCTAGAAAAAGCACATAGAAAAAGAGAGAGATTGATTAAGTGAAAAGCTAAGAAAATTAGTGCACAGGTAAGTAAAGGTGAGGCTAGGACAACACTGAGTTATTAAAAGAGCAAAACTACAACTGGGAACTGAGGAAAGAGGACTAGAGGAATTAAGCAAGGAGAGCACCAAGACTGGGAAAGGGTGACTGGCCACTAGGACATGGGTATGGATTCTCAAGTACACAGCTTGAAGAAGGATATGATTAAATAATTACTGAAGGATGGCAAAAAGGAGCCTGACAGACAAAGCTGGAATCTGGATCCTCACCTGCAGAGAAAAGGAGTAACACAGGAGCTCTCTGCCTCTCTGCACCTTTGCTGGCAGCACTTCTGAGCAATTCCTATTGGCAAACAAGAATCCTGTATAGCCTAGTAATAGTCTACACAAGAGGGAATATACCATTGCTGACTTAAATTCCTTCTGGAGGAACAGATATATGTAATAGATATATAATTCCAACTCCATTGATGAATCATGAGGATGAAAAATTTAATTTTGTCATTTCTCTTTTCAGGTGCCCAGAAACATTACTTTCTTTTCATTGCATATAAAAGGCAAAATGTTAATGGTACCACCACACATTATTTTCTGATAGGACTTGAGTGTCCACTCATTGCAAATATCTGAAAGTGAGCAGTGAATGAGACAGATGATTGTGTATGGAAAGAAATGACAGCAGTGACGGAGTAACAGAACTTATCCCTGGCCAACCAGACTCTTCTTCCATCCATAGATGCCTCCAATTATGCTAATCAAGTCACCTGAACCATCCTTCCCAAATACAAGCACTTACTGTGTATTTGGCATTTCCAGAGTACCTAAACCAAAATCATCAAGTTTGGTCTGATGATTTGGCTTGGATGAAGACATGAGACTTCTTACTCTAAAAACATTAGATTCTAAATATCACTGATGAAACAGCCAAATACATTAGATACTTTTTAGGCTGTATTTCAGTTTTCTTTCATCTCTTTTCACAGGGATGTTATGAAGACAGTTTCTTCAGTATTTTTGAACATCTGACTTGGTAATGACAAGGCCAGAGAAATTAACGTGTCCTTTTTTACATCGGACATATTTTGATTGGCACACACTAAACGAAGCCTAGGGTCACACAGCTGCATCCAAGAGCTAAGGACCAGAGTGCCAGCATGATTTCAGCCATGTGAATGTTTCATCTTGCCTAGCTTTGACCTACCTCAATGCCAATCTCCATGTTTCACCAGCCTCTCTATCACACTCTGCAGTCTTGGTTCTCATCTCCTACGACTTGGATGCCTCGTTTACTTCATCCTGGACCTCACCAATCCAATCTGTGCTCATTCTTTCTTTTGCTCTGGTGCTCCACTTTTCCAGGCATTCTGACAGTCTTACTAAGCATCAGCTGTCACCCCACACTACTTCTTGTCTTTTCCAAATCTCCCAGCCCTGTAGCAATGAGATACTTCTTCACAGGCTTTTCTTACTCTTCCCTCATCTTTCTTTCCCTCTTATTTCCCTTATTCCAAGGTTCAGCTGACAGTCCCTTGCCTTGGCTCTCTTTCTATCCTGACATGGCTGTTTCTCCCTGAAGGAATTCCTGTGACCACACTGATTTTTATGCTACAAATCAATTATCTCCTCTCCCATTTCTCCCTCTTCTAGCTAAACAGCTCGAATGCTTCCCTGACTTAATCAAATCCTCCCACACATTCAATTGTAGTCACCCTTGACTCACTCATCTCTTCCCTCCCATGTAATTCTCTCCTCCTCCGTCACAGAAGCGTTTGCCCTGTTCTTATATTGCTGCTTCCTCTAGCACCTCTTCTTCCCAAACCATGATTTAATCTCCTCCTGCTCATTTGTATCCTACTATTTTCTATTTTTCTCATGAGAGGGCTTGTTCTTTTCATCATGATACCAGCATGCTTTAGTTTTCCTATCAGAAGTGAAAAGCAACAACAGCCTTTTGTCTCTCCACCTATTCATCCCCTCCTCTTCTGTATTCAGCACTGAACTTCCAAAATGCAGTGCACAGGATTAGTCTTAAGAGTTCCTGTCCTCAGATATATTTCCCCCTGCTGCCTCTCCATCTGGCTGGGCCTGCATATGTTTACTTCTAGAGCTCTCCCTACTCACAGACAGAAACACGTCAATCAAGTGTCTCTTCCCCTTTGCTTTACGATGCTGTGATCACTGGGAGTTAAAAGCAGAGGGCGAACATAAACTGTCTTTTAATATTCATGGTGCAGAGGTATCCTGTAGGCTATTTCAGGATTCCTGTAATGATTCAGAATGCTAACAAGGACTGGAGGAAAGGGAGGATTTATCATTTTCTTTTTCCTTCACTCTATCAGGATTTTGAAAGAAAGAAAATGAGGACAGATATAACATCAGAGAGAGTCATGGGAGTCCCATAAGACATGGTTATTAAAAATGGCAAAATCACAGACAGAGCTATGAACACCTGATGGAAGGAGGAAAAAAAGATAAAGGATTTGCTTCAAAGAGGCAGCTAAAGACAGAGTGTGTGTCATAGGATCCAGCTTCCACAGCTATAGTAGATGTGTCTATTTTTAGGAAATGATTATATATGCACACGTAAGTGCATGCAGAACATGATGAAGGCAGGACATGCTATGTTTCATCTCTCAGGGTCAGGGTATGTCAGCCAAACTAGACACAGAGACAATAATCTGGCTCAACAGGAAAACAGATTCAGCATAATGCATTGTTATTTTGAATCTCAGGTTTCATATCAGACCATAAAGATTTGTCATCTTATCTCTTTCAAACATATCTTACTCTACATTTCTGTACTTATCCTTCTGTGGTAGTTTTATGGCTCAGTGAGCCATAAAATGAGCCTACTGGAGCATTCTGGACCATAATCTAGATTCTCTTCTGGTATAAAATGCTTTAGCTTCCCCTGAGGCATCAATGTTTTATTTTTCATAAGGTCATTAAATCAAGTGCTTCTAATCCATGTTGCACCAGTGAGAGTGAATACACAGAGTACAAGGGCACAAACAAGAACACAAAACTTTAAGCACTCTTAATATAAGAAAATCAAAATACCTCAATGCCATGGGGCCATGTAGGTCCTATGTCACATCTTCTGGAAGTGTCAATTAAATAAGCTTCTCCATTTCCACTTGCATCTCTCACTTCTCCAAATGGATACTTGTCTAAGAAAACAGGACATGGAGCATTTACACTGTCAAAGCCTATCTGAAGCCCCAGATTTGTGTTCCCTCTTTCCATACTTGAACCAAATGTGTTTGTGACTGAATTTACACTGTTCCCTCCATAGAGTTGTCTGTCTGGACTGTAAGGGTAAGGATCCACCAGAGAGAAGTTTCTATAATCAGATAGTAAAGAGGATCTGAAGCCAACCATGGGTGATACTGTGCCTTGCTGCCAGGGAGAGACTGTATTTCCAGGGTGAAACTTTCCAGAAGCAACCAGAGGCTGACCATAAAAATGCTGGTCGGGCACATTCAAACCAAAGACATCTGATGGGAAAAAAACTTCTTCATGATGATGTGAATGTGATGAACCATAGAAAAAAAATTCATTGCTGACTTCATCAACTATTCGATCAAATCCCAGAGGGATCTCTCCAGCAGAACCATAGTGGAACATGGTGTGAGATGCTTGGTCCCCAGGCTGTCCTTCATGGAATTCCTCATGTGAGAAAGGCACCTGCCCAAAGTATGCCATGGCTGATTGTCTCTTCTGTCTTATCAATCGTCAGGAAAGTCTCATGATAATTCCAAGGTGAAGCGACCAATGTCCAACACTGGAGCTACAAACCACTGAAATGAAGTACAGAATAAAAGTTAAACCCCAAAATATCTACTATAATGAAAGCAGTACACCTCTTTGGTCTGTTTTGCTTTAGAGCTTTCTCCACAGGGTGGAAATATTTGCTTGATCTGCATATTCTTTAGCCTGATCCTTATTTCCAGACATATTTTTATTATTACTATTGCTGCTGTTACTATTGAATAATAATAACAAATTACTACTATTATTATTATCCTTGACTCTCAAATAATAGCAACAGGATGTTTGAAACAACTGACCTAAATATTAAGGTACTAATTCTGACAAATATTAACATTTCCATTATTTCCATCGTTTTGACACTTGCATAGCACACCTGATGCAGAAATCTAAAATAAACAGGTAGGAAAGTTCTGTATTAATGGTTGCCAGTTTCATTCACATCTTCCTCTTCTTTATGCCTCAAATTTCTTCATATTCTACTTCACTTTTTCTTAGTGCAATCAGGTGAAGAAAGTTAAATCAAAGAACAGAGAAGACATGGACCTCCAATTAATATTCAAAACACTACACCTCAAAAGCTTGGATGCAGCATATGTAAAGGGCAAAATAAAGGATAAACAAATCAATTTCAGCTTTTTTTTGTTCCTTTGTTTAACAAAACAGATTTATCTTCAAAGCCTGGGGCTGTATGTTTTTTAGTAAATGAACAGGCAAGAGCATGAGCTCTGCAGCAGCTCAACATCATTCATGCTGTTACTAGCAAACTTCCTGATCTGATTTTAGCATGTGCCAAGTACTCCTATGGTTCAGATGTGCAGCATGGACTGGAGACTGCTGTCAGAAGGCATGAGGGCATCTTTTTTAGGAAGAGATTTTAGTTCCAAAACCAAAATCTATTCTGGGCCACTTGCCCTGAAGGCCTTAGCCTGTTCCATGTACTGATACAGATGTAGCCTAAAAACACAACTGACACAGAACAGCAAGACTGCACACAGTTGTGCTGGAGTACTTTACCACATAAAAGAAATAAAACCATCTGATTTAATAATTCAGTATAAAAAAAAAATGTATTCCCTAGCAGAAAAAGAAAAAAGCTATTGAGATAAAAACGTGTCCTCAGAAATTGCTAAAGCTCAGCTCCACAAATAGCTTTTCCATTATGTCCCCAAGATACTGTATTAGTTTAGATAATAGCACCTTGCAATGAAAATCTATGTTACAACAGAAGGCATTCACCACAATTTGATTTTTGTTTCATTTTAAGTCAAACTCTAGGTGACATAAGTTTCTGTCACCCACAGTGAGGAATGAGAAGAGAAAGGAAAAGTTAAATAGGCTGAAATGAAATCTCTAACTTAGAGGTTGAACTACTCCAAGCAGTCAACTTGGTGATTTCATGTGTTGTGCGCGTTGGTTTGTTTTAACTTTGTTTAAAAAAAATAAGCAGTTATGAAATGACACTGAGCCAGATGACCAAAATGCTGCATACATACCACTTGGGCAATCTAAACTTCAATTACAGCCTCTGCACCTTTCTCTCAGAGTAAATCTGGCACTTCATTATGGTTTTAGATAAAGATGACACTGTTTCAGAAAAAAAAATTAATAAACATAGCAACATGGATTTTAGGTATGAAATTCTCCTCACTTAAAATTTGTTTCTCATTTCTAAAGCAGGTAAATGAAAAAGAAAAAAAATACAGCCATAAATCAAAAGTATAAGGTCTTTTTTAAAAAAAAAAAAACCCTTTTAATTCTGAAAATTGGAATGTTTCAGGAAGAAGAGAAAATAATAGAACATCTTCCTTCACCCCCATCTTCCTTGAAAAGGTTTGGCTACCTAGAAGACTATAATTGAGGCACAGGAAATGCAACACCTTTCACAGCCTTTCAGCTGTTTCTAAAATATTTTCCTTACATTTCAGCAAATTCTCTTTCTGATGACACACAAGTGGTTTGTGTTTAAAGCTAACCATTTAGACTGGACACTCAGCATGCCATGGTGTAAATTTCAGAGATATGAGTCTTACCTGATAGTTTAGTTAGTAAGACTAGACTCTGTATTTGGGCCAACTTCTGATTGTTTTCAAAGCTGCACACAAAGTGCAGGAAAGGATTTGTCTTTTTGCCAGTCACCATTTGAATCATGCAAAGTGCATTGATAACACTGAATTTTCAAAAAATCACTAATGAGGCAAAATTTAGATGCTTTTTTAAAAAAAGCAAACCTGAATTTTTAGATTTTCTTTGCCTTGTGGTTTCTGAATTCACACTGCGGATGATTTGGCTGTGAAGTTCTCCTTTTCCTTTGCAATGACAGCTGTGTTTTCACAGAATGACATGGTTCTGGGATCAGGGGGTTTGAGGGAGAATCCCAACAAGCATTCTAAAATATTCACTACCAATCAAGAGACCTGAGAGCACCACACAATGCTCACAACATTTAGTGCCATCCAAGCACACAACACTTCCCACAGCTCAGCACACGTGTTCTACTCTAAAAGCTTGGCACATCATGGGCTCAATTTTCCTCTTCTACCAGAACCCAGGAACAGGTGATTGGGACACTTGCTAAATGCTAAGAATCTGTTGCAACTTCTTACCTGAAACACGTGATTAGTTAGAAGAACATACATGCTCCTGTGCCCTCCTGCTCACAGACATCAGATGTGCACACTCTGGATGTGCTTTCACTGTCACGGGGGTGTAACTCTTTCAGGAACTCCCCTTCCTGTTTAACCGGTTTAGTGCAGGAACAATTCTTTCCCAACTCCTCCTCCAGGGAAAATTCAAACAGCAGTAACAATAAAAAGGTAACACCTTATCTTTCTCAATTTGGGAACGCAAACATTTCTTCTTTTATTTATTTTAAAAGACATGGTGGTAGATGATCTCAGACTTTCAGTACAAGTTTCAAACATGCTTAAAATAACTTGTCTAAGGGAAAGACTTGCCTCTTGGGAAGGCTTCTGTACAACAACAGGATTCAAATATGTTAGTCTATTCCATCTATCTCTGCTGGAGGTCCATGCTCTGAAAGAAGCTTCCCAGCTCCACTCACGAGGAGAACCACAGGAGAAGGGGATGGTAGTGCTCCGAAAGGAGCTTCCCAGCTCCACTCACAAGGAGAACCACAGGAGAAGGGGATGGTACAAACCTTTGATGGCAGAGACACCCCTTGGCTTTAGCTCCTCAGCTGGGAGAGTCTAATGGGGGGAAAATCTCCCCTATGCAGGGATATTTCCCAGGGACCAGCGAGGACTTGGCTCTCTGCAAAGGACCTGCTGAAGAGCTGGAGTAAACACAGCCCTGGCCATACTTCTTCCTGGACCTCCAAGAGCTACTGGCCACATACTTCTTCCTGGACCTCCAAGAGCTCAGGACCCTCCATAAAAGGGAGCAGCAGAGGCTGCTCCAGGCACAACAGAGAGGGAGCTCCCTTAGGGACTATCTGCCTTCACACTTCATACCATTCCTTAAAAAGGTATAAATTGTTCCACTGAAGTGGCTATTCAGAATTCCAACAAAATCCCAGCCCTAGTCTACTCCAAGGTTGTTACAGGCAAATAAATATCCTCAAAACCAGTGAGGGAGTCAAGTATGAACAAAACAGTATTTCAGTTATAAAAAGCCATGCAGTAAGTCTGGTTAGGATAAAGCATTTAAAGTTAATAATTAATCAGATATATCTGATAAACTGAATGAAGTAATTTGATAAAGCCTTACAGGAAAAACTCTGCCCTTCAAAGTATAAAAGCTGTCAGTGATGTCATTGTCATTTAAAAGCAGTTAGACAAGGACAAAACTTATTTCAGTTGCTGAAAGGTGATGGATATTTTGCCATATATTCTCTAACCCTTAAAATGTCCACTTGCTCCACAAAGTATTTGGTGGCATTTGTGCTGTATTGTAGTCATTTCCAGTGATTACTCTGAAGTGATCCTGAGAGAGAGGAACACACCAATTTTAGGAGCTACTGTTCCAGAGTTTATGGCACTGTGATGTTCCTTCTTCTCACAGTGATTGGACACAGTAAAAGGAGGAGGATCGAGAAAACAGAGGAAATATGCACGGGAAGAGTTTCCATTCCCAAGCACACACACAAGGCTATATCCATGGCAGAAAAACTGAGATGGGACACAACCCCCTCTCTCCCCACAGTGATTTCCAGGACAAGGCTATGAAGGATTTTCTTGAGAAACTGAACATTTTCAGAGTTTTATTAGGCTTTTAAGGTGGCCACTCTTTTCCTGTTTTCCGCTTCCCATTGAAGAAACAGGCAGGAAAGTGCTGTGTCACTTTCTACCCTAACTCCTCCTAGAACTGCCAAGAATTGTCTCCTCCTCTTTTGCTGGCATGTTGGACAAAATCTCTAGAGACAAAGAAAACTGGATACTCCCTGGGATGTCTCCTTTACTTCTGTTAGACACTCTCACTGCTCCACCAGCTGGCAGGAGCCTACATCTCCCTCACATTAAGGAAGAATCCTGGATTTGATGTAGCTGTGCATGAGTGTGCCCGCACGAGCCAGGGCTGAGAACGAGGTGCAGGTTAAGAGCTGGCAAAATAATCACTCTACACACCCCAAGATGAAACGCAGCATCTCCAGCAGGTTTTTGCTCTCTGTGCTGCTTCACATGCATTCTGGAGCTTTCCCAAAAGGCACCCTGGCATTTGGAGCCTTGAGGCTTCCAGTATGATAGTCTTGCAAAGGGAATGCAGCAAGGTGTTTCAGCAATCTGTGGGGATGGCAAACTGGCTCAGCAGAGAGGCAGTGAGGAAAGTGCTCCATTTCCTAACAGATCCTTCCTTCTGTGTTACTATTCTCCAGTGCCACCTACTGTCACTTCCCCAAAACTGTGAGGCAGGAACAGAGATCACTGTGGCAAGCACAGTGGCAATTAAGCTTTCTGTCTGGCTGCAGGGAATGT